GGGAAAAACTCCTCCAAATTAACATACTTTTATAACGTGGGAAATGAAATTATAATATTGAGATTTTTTGTAATCAATTTATACGCACATCAACTAAAATGGGTGATGAGTAAAATATAATTTCTTATTTACATTTTCTCTTTTTCGCATACTATGTGTAATGATATTGAACTTCAAGCAATGGTAATATATTCTTATTAAAATAGGGAAACGCTATGGTACTATCAGTGGTATTGTATTGAAAATTATAACTTTTTAATACAAAGTTGTAATTTTTTCGAGGTGTAAGTTATAATTTTAAATGGCATGATCGATCACAAAATGTTGGAATTCATACTAAGAGTTTATGATCAGGAGTGTCCGCAACTTAGTAAAGCACAGGTTAAAGAATGAGTTAAATACATACTTTTTGATATAGAAGCGTGATTTTCAAAACATGCTTTTAAGTTTTTTTTATTAAATATATGTTTTACAAATATGTTTTTATATTAAAAAATATGAAATTAATTTATGCTTTTGTGAATTTTATTTTCGATTATAAAATAAATTTAAAATTATTATGAAAAGTGAATTATATTTATTTACATTTATTTAAATTTTTTTATCTGTTGAACTATTATGTGAGACATAAAGTGGAATTATTAGTTTTTATGAAATTTTATTGCAAGTTGGGTAGAAAGAAAACGTCATTGTAAAAAATTACGAGTTAGAAAACGTTATTTTAACAAAGGGATGAAAACGTCATTCAAAATAATATTTTCATCCCCTTTGTATTTTTAACGTCTGTTACTGCCGTTTAAAAAAATTATATTCATGATTCTGAATGACAACTTTAAAAACATCATTACAAATGACGTTTTCAAAAAAAAAAATTAAATCTTCAAATCGTCAGTCCAAATGATATTTTTAGGTGAGAAAGCATCATTTTAAATGACATTTAAAAAAAAAAAAACTGAATTTAGAAATTAAATTTAAAAATAATTGTGTTCGGGAATTATGTTTTGAAGTGACATGAATTTCCGGAAAACCTCAAGGTAATTCAAACACTTACACACTTTAATACAAAAAAAAGAACAAAAAAGTATTCTTAGCGTGTCCTTGTAGCAGTGCAGTGTCCTTCTTATAGCTTTTGTTATTTCACCATATTTGTCCTTTTGTCTCCGTCCGGACAGTGTTTTCCACGTGGTTCAACCAACACCAACTTCTTATGCATATATTTCAAATGGGGTTAATTATGGTAAACACCCCTAGATTTTGATAAATATTACATGGAGGACTCTTTTTTGTTATTATTAAACAAATATAGACACTCCTCGAGTTTTGTGTGCTGTGATATGATACCCTCACTTTGATATCGGCAACATTTTAACCCAATCTGGTTGACCATAGAGGAGCAATGCAAATCTATGAGAAAAATTGGTTAGACATCTACCAGGAGTAGAGGGAAGGTTTACTCAGGTGAGTGATCGTCCAGGTATTCAATTCAAGGCAAAGAAGAGGGAGCATTTCTCCTCGAAGGGTTAAACGCACGTCCCACATTTAAATAATGACTAGTTTGAAAAAACTTTGCAAAGATAACTTATGCTCGTTGTATGATGTTTGAATCCATGGGCGGAGTTGTATAGGAATCAGGGTGGGCACTTGCCCTCCCTCACTTATGGATCATCTTAGATGAGGACCCATAAGATTATTTTATACATTGTATTTGTCCTCCTAAATTTTTGAAAATTTTAATAATGGTTCTAATTTTTTATTTTTTTCAATAAATTATCTATTAACCCTCTAAAATAAATATGTTAGTTTTGGATTGAATCAATCAGATGTGANGATCATCTTAGATGAGGACCCATAAGATTATTTTATACATTGTATTTGTCCTCCTAAATTTTTGAAAATTTCAATAATGGTTCTAATTTTTTATTTTTTTCAATAAATTAATGGTCTATTAACCCTCTAAAATAAATATGTTAGTTTTGGATTGAATCAATCAGATGTGACTGTCATGATCTATTTGTATATTGACAAAAATACTATATTTCTCTTTATGTAACATAATGTTCGTTACTTTTTAAGAACAATTTTTAATTTTTATTTACCAATTTTTTAGTAATAGTAGTCTATAACCTCATAAAAATACAATTGTATATAACAGGCAAAAAATTGTAACCTAAAAAAATTTCAAGCTATTTCGAATAGGTTATTTCTCTATAAGATTGATAATGATTTCAACTAAATTTTGCAACTAAATAAAGAATAATTTTAGTACGGAAATTGTGATTNTTTCTCTTTATGTAACATAATGTTCGTTACTTTTTAAGAACAATTTTTATTTACCATTTTTTTAGTAATAATAGTCTATAACCTCATAAAAATACAATTGTATATAACAGGCAAAAAATTGTAACCTAAAAAAATTTCAAGTTATTTCGAATAGGTTATTTCTCTATAAAATTGATAATGATTTTCAACTAAATTTTGCAACTAAATAAAGAATAATTTTAGTACGGAAATTGTGATTGCACGCATTGATAAAAAATTAGTGAAAAATCAATTTACATTTAATTCATATACAAAATTTTAGAGATTTTAAAATTTTTTATATTCTGTTGAAATATATAATTAGGTTAAAATATACTAAAAAAATTATTTTGTATCTTTTTGTTAGGATTTTGTTTCGGCTAAATAAAAATTGAATTTACTATTTCACAATAATTTTGTCCTGTTTTTTACTTTTTTTGTCATTCTTGAACTGAATTTTTTTGTATCAATTTTGACTAAATATTTTTTTGTATCATTATATTTTGCTCTCCTCATTAATATTCCTGGCGCCGCCCCTGTTTGTATACAAGAAGCCAAAAAGTCGGGCTAAGTGATAAACCATTAGATGAGCAAAGTGGGATAAATAATGGAACCCTTGAAGAAGCATCATTTTGGCATTGGAGGTTAGAGGTGATATTAAAGGAGGCAATGACGGTGGCATTTGTTCGGTACTACAATGCGCATATGTCTTAAAAAGCTTTCTTCATTCGTCATTCCAAGAACAAAGAATCTCCTTTTTTTCAGTTATACGAAGTAATGTTATTAGAACCGAATCGGACCGATCGATTGAATCGGTTAGACCGTGAACCGAGACCTAGAATGGTCCGGTTCTTGAGTTGGACCGCATAGGCATGAGAATCGTCTTTCAACCATTAAACTAGCTAATGTTTTATGAAAATCGGTGAACTAGACAGGTTCTGAAAATTAGACGGTTAGAATTTCACTCAAACAACAGTTCAAGCCTTCCTTCTCTTAGCACAACTCTCAGCAAGCAACGACAACAAGATCTAGGCAAGGCGACATCAGAAATCTTGTAACGAGTTCCTTCTTTCTCCAGACTATGACGACATCTTCCATCTCTCCTTGTTAAGTCGTCTCTCTCTCTCTGTGAAATGTGAGTACGACAAATGGTCCTTTCACATTCTTTAAATAAAAGCTCTCTCATTTCTATCTCACTAGGTGACATTGATTGTTCTTTACTACTTTCTCTCTCACACATTGAATTTTATGAACTTATTATTTTTTTAATTAAATTGTTATATTTTATAATTTTTTTAATGTCCAATCAGTTGATCAAACGGTTAAATCAGTGCACTATTGACCCAATCCCTCTGTCGGTTTGATGTCCAATCCAATTCTAATAACATTGATTCGAAACTTATAAGCAAGAATTGACCATTTAGGATACCCCTTTTATGAGTAACAATCCTAGAAGGAAGACGGTCTTTCTTTTTTTGTGAAAGAGAAGTTTTACTAAAAAGATGCTCGGTGGGACAAAGAGATTCGAAGATTGAGAGATGGACTAGATTTAACAAAAGGGTGATAAAAGATGAAGCTTCTTATTTAAGCCTAACTATATATAAGGGGGAAGGGGGCACAAATAGAATTAGGAAATGCTAGAATTAGATTGGATCATGTTATTATGTACAATAATGTTATGCTTATCAAAATTTTTACTAAAATTTTTATCTTAAGTGATGTGACACAATCATCAATAAGACTTACTTATTTGATGGTGAAAACTATGTCTCATTACTCGGGATGAAAAACTTGGTAAAACATCTTGATTATCATAGCATTGTTGATGTATCTTTATATTTAGGGCATAAGTTTAGATGTTATCGGACTGGATAACATATGAGACTTGGCATGTGTGTTGGATTCAATAATGGGAGAGAGCGGGGGAGCGAGGAGTATATCCTAACTTCATTTTTCATTAATCGATCATCACTTACAAAATATATCTAATATTTTTAAGTTGAATTCTCAACTTATAAATACAAAAAAAATAGTCAATATTGGTTTAATTTTTATCTATTTCGATCCATTGGTACTAAACTCATCACAAATTTTTTTTTTGCTAAAAAATATCATATTTTCGTTACGAACTTCAACACCAGACAACTCAATTGACACACTCTCCAACACCCACTAGTCTGCACCTATCTCTCTCTTTTTTTTTTTAAATTATATAATTAAAAAAATAAATCAATTATTATTTAAAATATAAATATTATATGATCAATGCTCAATTTTTGATATTTATAGAGTGACATCATGCCCAGTTATTGCTAGTTTTTAATAATAGGTCTTTGTTCTTTGTTGTTTTTCAAATGTTGAGGCGTTTTCTTTCAATTTTTCCAAAAATTAAGGGGTGCTGATGAAATTTATGCTAAAAAATGGTAAAGAAGAGTCGATTAGCGCAGTAATAAACAAGAAAGCCTTCGCGTGTGTATGCGCGCGCGCACTAGAGAGAGAGAGTATCCAATGATGGAAGGAATCGGAGGTGGCGTGGATAGAGCAGCGAGACTGCCAATAACACACACACACTCACTTCTCTCTCTCTGACCATACTTCACAGACTGCCAATAAGACACACATTCTCTCTCTCTGACCATACTCTGAGCTCTGTTTGCCGTTCTTTTTGGTGCAAGACCGATCGCCAGAATTGAACATCGAAAATGCATTCGAATCACTTACTCCTCGAAGAACCTATACGCATGGCTTCAATTCTCCAGCCTTCGAAGCCTGTAAGTACCGATTCCCACTACAGGAAATATATCCCGGGTGTTTATATATGTGAGAAATGAGCGTGAAGTTGTTCCTTTTTGTTCTTCAGCTCATCAACGTTTTTAGGTGATTGAAAATTTTGTAACGAGTGTTTGATCCTGTGGCCATGTTGAACTGAATCGAATGAATTTTGTGGATTTGTAGAGTTTCTTTCCGGCAATGACGAAGATTGTTGGAACGCTTGGCCCGAAATCGAGATCCGTGGAGGTTATTTCTAGCTGCCTCAAAGCTGGAATGTCTGGTATTCGTTTTTTTTTTTGGTTCCACTTACTGTATCGTTATGTGTGTGTGCGCGGGTGATCATGTTCATATTGCTTGATGACATAATGCAGTTCAGTTTTAATGAAATGTAAAAATAAAAATTTACATATACTAGTTTAACTGAGAATTATCCTAATGCTGCATTAATTTACTTGAGTTTTTCAGTTTGCTTTTGAAAAAAAAAAAAAATATCGTTCTGAAGGCCTGAAATTGCACTGACTTGTTTGTTTTTCTGATTACCTCAGCCTAAAATTATTTTATGTGCCTCTTTTATTAAAATGAGCTGAACAATAATTATATAGAGGTTAATCTCAGAGTTGAATTTGTTCATGCCTCTGGATTTATCATTCTCATTTTCCTTATTTTTTCCCTTTCAGTGGCTCGCTTTGATTTTTCGTGGGGTGACCCCCAATTTCACCAAGGGTCATTGGAAAATTTAAAGACGGCCATCAAGGGTACAAAGAAGCTGTGTGCAGTAAGCTTGTTGTTTTTGTGTCCAAACATTGACCGATTAAAGTCTATGTTTTTCACTTCGTGTTGCTTCTGTGGATAGTTTGTTTCCTCACCCCATGAATTTAGGATGTAGAGCTTATAATCTTCCTTTTTCCAGGTAATGTTGGACACTGTGGGTCCAGAGTTACAAGTTGTAAACAAATCCAAGCATCCCATTTCCCTTCAGGCTGATTCTTTTGTTGTTCTAACACCAGATCAACAAAGAGAAGCTACTTCGGATCAATTGCCGATCAATTTTAGTGATCTATCAAAGGTGAATATTTGAATGGGCATGTGTTTCAGTTAGTTCTGAAATTTTTCGAAGTGTGTAGCTGCACGTATGTGTTTATATGATGAGGGAACTGCAAGTCTTAAAAATATGACCAAAGGTATGAAAAAGCTAGTTCATATTCAACAACTTGCCTTCGCCAAATAATGGAGCTGCCCTTGCAGATGCATAATTTACGTTGCCTTAAAAAAGCAAAAGATGAGCTCATGGTTGTTATGATGTTACCTCAATGTAGACATTCTAATGCTAGTTGTATAATGATATCACGGTTTATGATTCTCGAGCTTTTTAGGTGTTCTTACTTTTTATATCAACCACACAAAAATATGTGTTTCTATATCTGAAAATAGGAGAGAGGAGAAAAACATGGATGCCAATACCAAGTGTTGGTCTGTTATTATCGGGTTTAGGAGAGGTGGACTTCATGAGGACCTAATTTTGCGTTACTCGCATGAAGTAGCTCCGTTCAAACTCGAATATGTTTTCTCACGTTTGACAACATGAGCTTTTTTGCAACAATAATGGAGTTAGGGGCGCTCCATAGCTTTTGCAGACTAAGGGATTTTATGTTTTCCACATATGCAAGCTTTTCTCTTTTAACAAATCATGAAAGTATACTGAAGGGCAAGCAGTAATGCACTTTCTCTTTATCTTGTGTTTGCTTTCTGCTCTTTGTTTGCACAATAATCATGGTCTGTGGCCAAATTTTTGGTCTTTGCAGGCGGTAAAGACGGGAGACACTATTTTCATTGGACAGTATTTGTTTACAGGAAAAGAAACAACTTCTGTCTGGTTGGAGGTAACATCGACGAGATTGATTATTAATGAGCCCAGATATATGATATCTTTGGCAACTTGAGAAAGAGTTTGATTATATTAAGTCAAGTTTTAGTAGACATGTCAAATTCACTGCTTTCTTGTTTTTCTCATCCTTAGAGGGTTAGTGTTATGGGCTGCTGCTCTGCACATTTCCGGGACTCTTTTTCATACAAGTTCACAATTAAAGTATGACAACATGCTGATGCCAACATAGCACAGTGGTCAATGAATCTTTTATAATGGTGGCATTGGGGGTTCTGCTTTCAATTCTTGTTTTTCACTTAAGAAAAGAATAATGCAACAATTTTGCCCACAAGTGGGTAGCATGACTGGTATGTCCAGCCACCTTTAGAGGGGAGGTGCAGGGTTGAAATCCTTATTGGGATGTGGGTGCCTTTATATTCTTATTGAAAATCGCTATTGTGATAATTCTAAAAGGTTTTTAATCTTCCATTTGAAAACTGAATAAAGTTTCATCAGTAATTGTTGGATGTTCTAGACTTATGTAATTCTTGAAGTTCCATTTATATGATGTAGGTAAAAGAGGTGAAAGGGGAGGATGTGGTGTGTCTCATAAAGAATTCCGCCACCTTGGATGAGTCATTGTACACATTACATGTCTCTCAAATTCCCATTGATCTGCCCACCCTCACGGATAAAGATAAGGAGGTAAATTGTTCTAGTTGCATTGGACATTTATTGTTTAAAGAACGAGTCTTACTGCATGCATGCATGTAATCTGTGCCACTTTACCCAACTGTGTAGGAAAAGGTTAGGTTCCTTTACATTGCATGGTATCCAAAAAGAACTGTGGATTACATAGTCCTAGAACTTTTTGTAGAGAAGAGAAATGTTACCTATTTCTTTTATCCTAAAATATTGATGATGCTTGTGTTCATCATCCAGTACTAAAGGACTATTGCTATTTATGACATTTCTTCAATAATGATGCGATGATCTGCTAAGGCTTCTTAGAAGTATTTTTGGTGTTAAAATTTCATGTTTGCTGTATATAACTGAGTGATATTAAATCTGTACAGTTTGTTTGGCCCCAACTGTCTCGAAAGTTGGCTAGATTTTCCCTTCTAAGGGGTTCTTTTTGTAGCCATTAACTGCTTGCATAACTGATTCCAGGTTATAAGCACTTGGGGTGTTCAAAACAATGTGGACTTCCTTTCACTGTCATCTACCAGAAGTGCAGAAGATGTTCGGCGTGTAAGGATGGTTCCTTCTTCTTACATTGAGCCATTTGTTTAATACTCCAATCTATTCTTCATCTGTGTATTTTTGGTCTTCTCCATTTGCTCATAATATCGATGGTGTAAATTTTGAGATTTTTTTATGTATCACCATTTTTTATCTTCTTGTCCAATTTGGTATTGCTTTTTCTTGCTATCACGCAGGCTCGCGAATATCTTTCTGAATTGGGTAACCTCAAAGAAACTCAAATTTTTGCCAAGATTGAAAATGTAGAGGTGAGAAGCATACCAGATTTGAAGTACTTGAAAATCATCATTTTGAAGCTGAATGTGAATTTGCAGTTCATTTTCTCCCATTTATCCTGCAGGGATTAAAACATTTCGACGAGATACTACAAGAAGCAGATGGTATTATCCTCGCTCGTGGAAATCTAGGGATAGATCTCCCAGCAGAGAAGGTCAGCTTTCATCACTATGTCATTTTGCCGCCAAATCCACCCATCCCATCCCTCTGTCCACCCACTCAAACATACACAAAAAGAGAAGGGAAGGATCGACCAGAAAAGGAAAATAAAAGAAAGAAAAGTTCTAATTCATTTAATACTGCACACTTGTTTTGTTAGTCGTGCTATTCAACGGCTTGCATGTGCTAATCTTGTACCAATCCATCACATATACATATTATTGTTGAGAACATGGAAAAAAAATTATAACAGCACCCAATTGGAATCAAATTGAAATATGAGTATGGTAAGCATATTTTGATGGTTATGATATTCAACAGTCTATGGATGCAAAAAGGTGTATTGGGAGTGCCAATTAGAGATCGTTGAATAGGTCTTATGCACTTTAATACGGAATTTATGCCCAAATAAAACATATCTCACTCAATTACAATTTAATTAACCGTTTAGTTCAATTAACCCCTCAATGACATTGATCCAATAACCAAATTAGTGAATGTGTGTGAAAACCAAATAATTCAATGTTGAACAAACATAATCCACTAACCTTATCTCTCCAATCCCTTCCATCAATTCACAAATTGATTTAGGCAATAGAACGACCATAACACAATTCAGATTCGCTCACACTATTTATCAAACACTTGGAGGTAGGTAAAATTGCTAGTATGTAAAAGCAAACACAGACATATAACACAAGCAATTTTAATGTGAAAACCCTCTCGAGAAAACCACGGGACCCTAGTATACCTAACCTAATCCAGTAATTTCAAAATTTGATTACATGTTTGAACACTTTTACCTCAATTAATACCATAGCTAGAAGTTTCTTCCATTGAATCTTTACTCTGGAAATCCCTCATGAGAGTCTCAACAACTAGCTTCAATAAGCAAAGAATCGAACTCCATGATCCATCCTTGGAATTCACCTTCTTCTCTTTTGGAATCCTCCTTTGATCCTTGGTAGCCTAATTTGATCCTTTTTGTCATGGGTTTTTGTGGTTTGCATGATCTATGAAGGTTCTTGCTCAAATTATCTTAAGAATTATATGTAAATCATGTAGGGATTGGGGTTTGATTGGAAGTAAGTTTTTCTAAGTCTTGGTAGTCTCTCTTAAACCCGGTTTTTCTTAGTCTTGGTAGTCTCTCTTAGACCCTAGAGTCTTCTGAGACAATTTTTAGAAAGTCTGAGGTCATGTCTAATATGAACAGGTTAATAGAGGTTAATTGGCGTACAAGAAAAGTCTGTCCATGACGCACGCAGCACTCGAGCAGTGCAGTGAGTGCCGGCTTTTGGAACATTGTTCTTACAACCGTGAAAATGCAGCGCTCGAGCGCTATAGCAAGCGCTGAGTACTGATTTTCTCTTTTTGTGCCCAGTCTATTTTCCAACTTCCCGAGAGCGTTATACAATGGTTTTCCTTTTAAACCAAGGCTCTTTTTCAACTTCCTAAGTATGAAGGGGTGGTACCTAAAAAGCCTGCATACCCATGACTCATTTTAAAACACGTTTAAAAAATAAACCCTCAGTTTCAAAAAATATTTTTATACAAAATACACAAGAGTCATGTTACGGATTTAATACGGACACCTCTAAATCATAGTTATCAAAACCGGATCGGACATCGACTCGGTAGAGAGACCGGATCAATGGATCACTAGCCATAAAATTAAAACTAAAAAGTAATTTTTAGTAACAATGAATATGCTAAAAACTTATAATAGTTATAGAACTAATATGTTGTATGTTATAGTAGATCACACAAAAAACACAAAAAATATCCAAATGTCCTACAAAAAAATTCATAAATTGGTATTGAAGATTGGCATAAATAGCAGCATGTAATAACAAAAAATAATTGAAAGAAAAAGACAACTAACTAAGACCAATAAAAAATGGAAGAGAAAGCAAGGCTATCAATTTGGAGTGTCATCTAATCCCACATCTGAAAGATATAGGAAGACAGAAGGAGCATGCCTATAGGAGGTGTATATATGCTAATACAGAAAGTTGACATCTAGTTGGAAGGCATGATGCCAAGAGATTTAGCCTAGTGTGACTATTTTAAGGTATAAAAAATGTTTAAATATGAATAAAAATTGTCCTCTGGTTTGATGCAAACCGTCTGGTCTGTACGGGTTTAGTAAAAATCGTCTGGTTTGGCTGGCTCTTAGGTGGTTTCGTTGCATAAATGATCCTATTTGTAAATCGGCCCAGCTTAGGCACCAGTTGGACTGTTTTTCAGGTTGACCTGCTGGGCCTGCTCAGTTTGAATAACACTGTTCTAAATCCATTTTATCAACCTAATTTAAACCAAAATAAGGCAACTACGTATCTAGGTCATCTTACCTTAGAATAAGCTTGATGGGATCCAAGAAGCCTTCTTCCTATTATAAATGTAAGCTTGAGCTTCTTCACCGCATCTTGCTTTAGTATTCGATCTTCATAAGCATCTTGATCATGGATTTAGTTGAGATATAAAAATGCAACCTGACCTACCGAAATTCGCCAATTACAATCAATTTGCTAACAATACAAAATACAATGCGCATAAACAAGCATATGTGGGAAGTCTACCTAACTCATGGAAGAAGTTATTAATTGTAATTACATTAGAGTAACTTTCACACAAATTTCCTACATTTTTCTTTTTTCTTTGATGTGTGCATGTCTTTGTGCTATAAAGATAACTGAAAGATTCCTCTGTTGAATCTAACATGATTTTAGTGCTAATCTTCCTCAATAATATTCAGGTATTTTTATTTCAAAAGGCAGCTGTGTACAAGTGCAACATGGCTGGAAAGCCAGCTGTAGTGACTCGTGTTGTGGACAGTATGACCGACAACCTAAGACCCACTCGTGCTGAGGCCACTGATGTTGCAAATGCTGTGTTGGATGGTAACTTTTTGGTTCTCTGATGTAGGATTTCTTGTTTTTGCTATTGTTGGTGGTTGTTTCTATTTGTACTTTGTACCGTGAGAAATATTTTACCACTGTTATTGTTCTTGATTTTTGATAATATTGCTTTTCCCTTTGAGCCTTTTGTGATAGATCACTGTTAGCAGCCATTATGACAATGAGATAAAATTTCAGTTATATTTCTGTTGTTTTTCATTTGGTTCAGGCTGTGATGCTATTCTTCTAGGTGCAGAAACCCTTCGAGGCTTGTACCCTGTTGAGACTATCTCCGTTGTTGGTAAAATTTGTGCTGAGGTATGGTTTTCCTTGCTTTCTTTCGCTAACTATTTTCCTGCTCTTGTCATCATGCAACTTTATTTCTAGATGTTAAAAAAATCCAGTCTGAAACACCTCTCTCTCTTTCTATCCCCCTCAACCACCCATTCCCAAATTCCCCGTCTCCTACCTCACAATCATCATTATTGTTGTGGAACGATAAAAAGACTGAAATCAGCTGTGTGCCTGATATTTTGATCAGTTACTCCTTCCAATGCCAGCTTTCTTCAAGACCTGTTGCAACCTCTGCCTCCAATTTTGTCATCCTGTATCTCACATATTATGATGTGCATTTTCTTACAAGTCTTGCTTTCTAAATAGCTTCTGTAGATACATCTCCTATCCTCATATGAAGTCAATTTCTCCTGATGATGTTAAAGCATTCTTCCGTTCGCGCTCATGTTTTTGGAATGGGGTTTTTTCGGAATGCACTTGCCATATAGTTACTACTTTATATGTCTATTTCCCTTTATGCAGAACCTATTAAGTTCTTGAACAGTCACTTTTTCTGTTGGAAATTATACATGCTTGGTGGAATAGTATTTTTTATCAGTTGAAATTCCACCACAATCTAAACAGGGATCCATTGCAGTGCAGTTGAACTGCATGCTGTCATTGATGTAGACAGGTTCCCACATTGGGGAGCCCTTTCCCATGTACCTCACCAGGAAACTTTCCTGTGCATAGCAAGTAGTTATGGGATACACATGCTATATGAAATCGAACTGCATCAAAACTGATACTGTTTATTTCTTGCAACAAAAAACTGGCCAAGCCTTTCCCTTTTCTGTAAGGTTGAGGAGTTTGCTCTCAAGGAGTAAAGACTTGGGCGGCCATACTAAACATGTTGCTCTGTATGCTTTTCAAGATGAATGTTCAGGACCAGCTGCTTGGAGCAAATGATCACACATTTTCCTGAATGTGCAGTATTCCTTGAACAAAAGACATTCACCATTACTTTCCGCATCATTATTGGCTATAGGTATTGTCATGAACTAAAATGCTGTCTGCAGGCGGAGAAGGTCTACAACCAAGACCTTTATTTTAAGAGGGCTGTCAAATATGTTGGAGAACCGATGACATACCTAGAAGCAATTACTTCCTCTGCGGTACTTAGCTGTGATATTCCACTTTTGTTTTTTCTTACCCAGGAAATTTTAGTACTATATACTGCCTCTTAGAAGTGGGCTTTAATTAAGTAAACGGTGCTTTGAAGGAGTTCCTTATTTGAAACAACCTGAATTGTTGCTATTGTTTAATCTAGGTACGCGCTGCCATCAAGGTGAAGGCATCTGTTATCATTTGCTTCACTTCATCAGGAAGAGCTGCAAGGTTATTTTGTTAAATATTTTATTCTCTTTGTTAAAAGCAAATATTTTGAACCTTAAAGCATATGATTTTCCAAAACTACCCTTGATATTGACTGATGTTTATATGCTAATTAAATTTCTAAATCACTACACATTAATGCACAGATTAATTGCCAAGTATAGGCCAACAATGCCTGTGATATCAGTTGTCATTCCTCAGATCAAGTCAAATCAAATCCGATGGACAGTTAGTGGTGCTTTTCAGGTATAATTTAATCTTGGATTTATGCATTGCTTCTGCTTTCACTAGTTTTTTACACCAGATCTCTGTTGAATGATCAACTCAACTCAACAAAGCCTTGCCCCAACTTTTTTGGGGTCAGCTGTTGAATGATCAATAAAGTAAGTTCCTTGCCCCATTCAATTTTTCGGTTACGTTCTTAGTAGAACATTTTCCATAATAAAGTGAACTACATAGTACTCGGACAATTCAAACCTTGCTCAACGTATTATTTTTTACTGATAACCCTGTCCTGAATGTGATTGATGAACCAAGAAATGCAGAATAGTAATACTTATGAGGGACTGCTCTGCAGGGGCAAGGGAAGGGAGGTGGGGGCAGATTCGGCAGAAGAAACCTTCTTTCAACTTAAATTTTTTTACATGTAGTTTAGATCATTCTCACATTGTGTTGCTGTTGTTGCAACTAGTGTAAGTTAACCATTTAAATTCTTTTCTGATGGGATTTGTCTTTTCATAATCTAATGAAGAGACAATTACACCAAAAATATCAATCTCTACCTAATTAAACTCCATAATATAAAAAACTACTAAGAGACCCCCCCCCCCCAATTTAAGGCCACCATATTAAGCTATTAGATATATTCTTTCCACTCGCTATATACAATCCCAAACATATACTATTGGCACCCTAGGACTGGCTACAGCTTTAATGTATTGCAACCCAACCTGCTCAACTGTTCTATGGTCATAAAGTTATGAACTCGTGATAATGAATGAACAAAGACTAGCTAGAAGTCTCACTCTTTCCAGAGAATGAATCCCATGTGCAATGATTTTAAGTCCTTGCAGAAGTTTACTTTAGATTTTAAATGGTATGTGTTGTCATGCATAAAAGATCCTGTTTGGACCACATTCTACAATTTTGGTGAATAGGCAATGAATGACACATCTAAAATGAACAAGTCAGCCAAAAAGAATTGCTACATGGCATTCTTTAATCAAAAGAGGGTGTACAATCAGTCGATGTGGCCTGTTCAAATTCAAGGGCAATTATAACCCTTGTGATGGAGGGAATGAAGCGGTTATTTTGGAATCTGAAAAGACAGCAATTATTAATACTTAATGGGCTCAAGAAATTTGAAAAACAACAGTTAAAACAACGAAGAAATGGGGACAAACTGGCTGAAAAATCCAGTGTAACCGTCGATAGAAAGATGCCTATAAATAGGCATTGATTGTAAAGGAGAGGACACGATCAAACCCATTAAAGACCGATGACTTAGATCTTTTCTTTTAGCAGTTTTAGATTAATTTTAGAAGTAGAATTAGTTTCAAAGATTGTTTCATCAGTCTGTTGTAACCCAGAAAACTTTTAAGGTTAATAAAAGCGTCTTTCCTTTTATTAATCGCTTGATTATCATTTTGTTTGCTTTGAATATGTCTATTGTGATAATTCACGGAAGTCCTAAAGCAAGACAATTGAACCCAACATTTAGTAGTCGCCCGAGATCACTCTATGAAAGGATTAAGTCTGTCGATCGCAAGAGAAATCCTTTGGGCAGACCAACAGACCCATTTTTTCTTGGCTTTGTATTGATGATGTGGGGTTCTTGCAAATATACTTTGTTGGTTTTCCCTGTTTATTCCATTTTTTTCAACATTCTCTGTCTTCCTGCTTTTAGAACCATTTCCTATACATTCAATAAGTGGACAAGCTTCTCTTGGTTTGTTTGCTTAAAACTATTAGAATTGATCTTTCATCTAGGTGGCCACAATGTAAGTTAACCTTCATAGATTGCAATAAAGTTGAGAAAACTAGAGGTTGTTGTGGGACATCGATGATATTGTCATGTGACTTTGGACATTATGTGTTCCATTGGTCTAGGTGCACCATCAGGATATATACCCAGTTAAAAAGTAAAAAGTACAATATTATGTTAGGAGAAAAGGAGAAGAAGAAAGAGAATGAGTGAGAAAGAGAAAATAATGTGTGTGAGTAGTATGCCCTACACTTTCTTATTTATATTGAACCCTATCTTAGGTAATCACAATATTACTCGACATAAATATAAAACATAAAAAATAAGAATTCTAATATTCTCCCTCAAGCTGGAGCATAAAGATAAACAATGTCCTACTTAGAACCAAAATTATTGAAGGTACCACGAGACAATGGTTTGGTAAAAATATCACCCAACTGATCACCAGACTTGATATATGGAGTGATAATCTCCTTTCACATCAAGAGATCCCGAATAAAATGACAATCCACTTTTGTGATTGGTGTGCTCATGAAACACAAAACACTGGATTAAGGGCAATGAAAATAGCTGCCTGATTATCACAATACATTTGCATAGGACAAGGCACACTAATCCCCATATCACAAAGTAAAGCACACACCCACAACATTTCACATGTCATGTGAGCCCTAGCCCAATATTTTGCCTCTACACTTAAACGTGTAACTACATTATGTTTCTTGCTATGCCAAGTAACAAGATTACCACCAACAAATGTGCAATAACCAAAAGTAAATTGTCTATTAGTACGAATACCTATCTAGCATCAAAAAGGCACCAACAATAGTCATAAATTGTGAAGACCGATATAATAATCCTTTTCAGGTTGCTCTTTTAAGAAACCGAAGGATACAACAAGTAGCTTTTCAATGAGGCTTTCGAGGAGCATACATAAACTGACTAATTACTCTAATTGCAAATGTTATATCGGGACGTGTAATTGAGGTAGATCAGTTTACCAATCAATCTCTGATAATGTTTAGTGTCATCAAAAACTTCCCCATTATCAGTATTTAACTTTACTATAGAATCCATAAGGGTATCAAGATGACGAGCACCAAGAGTACTAGTTTCAGATAACAAATCCAATACATACTTTCATTGGCATAGATTGATACCTTGTTTTGATTGAGCAACCTCAATTCCAAGGAAGTACCGAAGAAGACCCAAGCCTTTAATGTGAAACTGATTCCCCAAATAGAGCTTAAAACTGACAATACCATTACAATCATTATCAGTAATGATGATGTCATCAACAAATATGATGAGAATGATAATCCCTCGGATAGAACGACGAATAAATACTGAATGATCTGAAGTAGAACACTAAAAATCATACTAAAGGACTACAGTACTGAACATATCAAACTAAGCATGTGATGACTATTTTAAACTATATAATGCTTTCTTCAAGCGACGTGACTGTTTTAAACCATATAATGCTTTCTTCAAGCGACGTGACTGTTTTAAACCATATAATGCTTTCTTCAGGCGACATACTAATTATTCCTTACCAGAATTAACATAACCTGGGGCTGAACCATGTACACCTTCTCTTATAAATCTCTATGTAAAAAGGCGTTCTTTATGTACAGTTGGCACAAGCGTTAATCACGACAAGCTGCAATCGAAATAAGAACTCTATCAGATTTAAGTCGAGCAACAGGGAAAAATGTTTCACAATAGTCAGCACCACTTGTCTGGGAGTATCTTTTGGCAACCAACTGAGCCTTTAAACACTCGACGGAGCCATCTGGAAGATATTACTACGTAGACCCAATGATAACTAACGGGCTATTTTCAAGAGGAAGTGAAGTGAGATGCCAAGTCTGATTCTCAGGAAGTGCTTTCATTTCCTCATCCATAGCATTCAGGAGGTGTCAAAGCCTGTGTCAAAGAATTAGGAACAACCACAAGTGACAAAGTAGAGACAAAACAACATAATGATAAGGACAGCCGATGCAATGAAGAAAAATTAGAAATTGGATGTCTAGTACAATTACGAGTACTTTTCCTTAGAGTAATAGGCAAATTAGAAGAGTATGAACTAGTTGATGACTCAAAAGGAAGGACCTTAGTAGAATCTGGTGATAACTGTAGAGCAGGAGCATATGGAATAATCTGTCTTTGGAAGGATGATAAACCTGTAAGGTAGGGGTAGTAGTTAAGGAGGAAGAAGAAACATGGTCTGGTATAACAAGCAACAAGCGCTCCCTTGATTGGGAAAGACTAAATCTGGTGAAAGTGTATGTCCTAGTATAGAAAAGAAAGATGATGACTCAATAAAGGTAGCTAGCATCGGCGAGAGATAGGGTCATAGTATCGATTACCTTTTTGAGTACGAGAATATCCCAAAAAAATACACTTAACCTAGGCGAAAGTTTATCTCTACCCAGACCAAGAAGATGAATAAATGTAACGCAACCAAAGACACAAGGATTGAGTCCAAAAGGCGGTCTATCAGGGTAAAGCAATAAGAAGGGACATTTGTTATCCAAAATGGGAGAAGACATGCGATTAATAAGATAAACTGAAGTAAGAACATCATCCCAATATGTTTTTGACATATACATGTTAAACATCAAGGTGCGGGCAACATTTAATAAATGACAATGTGATGAGGATCATGTAGGAATTGGATAGATATTTTAGATTAATCATGAGAGTAATTTAGTATTTATTTTTTAAATATTTTTTTTTAACTTTTAAGGGTTTAGTTGTCATTTTAATTATTTATTTATTTTAGGGTTTGTGATCTCCTTATATATATAGGATTTGTGAACTCCTTATATATATATATATATAGGGAATACATATTTGTTGTGAGACTAGACTTTGATTATTGATATTGAATCATTCTTCCTCAAATTCTCTCTTTATTCTCATCCCCTTCTTCTTCTTTTTATTCTCTTCCACTTCTTCTCTTCTCATTCCTAATTCTTTTTTTAATACGATCTACATCAATTTGATATCAGAACTTAACTTTGATTCGTACAAATCACAAAAATCTCAGTAACACTGTTCATTGGGAAAAAAAAATGTTCGTTGAAATTACTGTTCATCGTAATAAAAATCTCACTGTCCAGTTAAAAAAAAAAACTAGAATTGTCCCCAGCAGATTTAGAAAATTACAGCAATATTTATGCTATTTCAGAAATTACAGAAATACCCCAGAAAGTTCTAGAAGTTGCAGAACTACTACTAGAAGTTCCAGAAATTGCAAAATCTTCCCCCCGAAAGTTCCAGAATTTGTAGGATCATCCTCTAGCTTGTCAAGTATCCTTTTGGAGCTGCATCTAATACCAGATACGAGTTCTCTTTGTTGAGAATTGGTGACTAGTATTTATTTTTGTTGGTAAGTCAAAAAAAATTTTTTTTACCTAAACTTTCTTTGTTTGTTGTTCTTACGCACCACCTTCATAACTTTCTTTCTTTGTTGTTCCCATACACCACCTTCATAACTTAGCTTGCCCAATTCCTTGTTAAACCCATTATAACTTGTCTCACGTTTACTTGCATCTCTTTATAATAAGCTTGCTTTTACGTGTGTCCATTTGCATTGATTTATAGTTTTATTTACTTGGTTTAATTTTTATTCTAGTCGGCAA